CACCGCCTTCAAATTGTACCTCTTTGAAGAAGCCACCTGCCCGCGACGGGACAGGGCCGCGGGGCGCACCGCCCGCCTCCCGAGCAGAGCGCTCGCGGCCTCGGTACTCACTTCAGTGCGATGGTGTACCTGCTGCTCCCGGACTCGCTGCTGCGGACCAGGTAGGCAGCTTCCCTGCAGGGCTGCAGCCGGCTCTCGGCCTCCGCACGGGTGATGGCGCCATGGTACCAACTGTAAAGGGGGCACCAACATCAGAGAACGAATCCAGACAGGGCCTCGCTCCATAAAATAGTATCATTTAAAATTTTCTTTTACTGTTTTTATTTACTTTTGAGAGAGAGACAGAGAGAGAGAGAGAGAGACACGGAGGGCGGGCGGGAGAGGGGCAGAGAGAAAGGGAGACACAGAATCCAAAGCAGGCTCCGCGCTCCGAGCTGTCGGCACAGAGCCCGACGCAGGGCTCGAACTCACGGACCGTGAGGTCATGACCTGAGCCGAAGCCGGACGCGGAACCCACTGAGCCCCCCCAGGCGCCCCCAAAACATATCATTCGTAATGCGCTTCTGGTGGGAGCTACATAGCCTGAACTAGATTCTGCTTCGCGCTCAGAAGAGACGAGACACAGGTTTGGGTAAACGTGGATCACAAAACGGATCAGGCATGAGAGGGAGCTAACGGGGCTGGTGTCACTGAAGAGTTTTCAGTCCACACGGGTGAACGAAATTTGAAATCCGGCTCCGGGATGCAGCGCCCTTTCCGCTCTGCACAAATGCAACAGGCTTCGAAAACAGGTGTTCGTTAAGCCCCACCCACCAAGTATCCACGAGCAAAACTCATCGTGCAAAGTGCCCCCGCCCGCAAAAGCTCCGGCCACCCTTCGTCCCCGAGTGCCGAAGAGACTCACGGCTGCTTCCCCAGCGGCAGGGCCGGGTCCACCTTCTCGCCCTCGCCGTGCTCGGAGGCGGCCGGCTTCAAGACCTTGGGGGTCCAGCTCTTCTGACGGGGGTGCGGCCTCACCGCGTCCTCCTTGACGGAAGGTCGCTCAGAGCCTTCAAACTGAACTGGAAAGAAGGCTCGTTTAACACGGAGGCCACAGGGGTGGCCGGGGCGGATGCCAAAGCGGCAGCCTCGCCTCGGGAAGGAAGCCCCCTGCGCCAGGGCTGACGCGTGCCGACCACCCAGGGTGGGGTGCGTCCTGGGGGCCTCCAGAGTGCGCCTAGCGTGTACTTCTAAAAACTTTCAGTAAATTTAGAATAAAAGATAAGAGCGTATCACTCTAGGGAACCAAATAAGCCGCTTTTACTATGAAATAATACACAGATCAACCTGGAAACAGAAACTACGAACGGCGCCTTGGACGCTACGCCACCGAGGCCGCACGGAGCAGACACACGAACGAGCGACACGCAGCACGGCAGGTGGCCACGGGGTCGGCGGAAAACAGGACGGAAACCGAACTCCACTGAGCCTGCGTGTGGACCACACCGGCACCACCAGACTGGCTTCGCGGGTGGAGGGAAAAAGACACCCGACTTTTCCCAATCCGAGGAAAAAGAGGCTGTCGGCCAAACAGAGGGAGACCACCTTTCACACCGAGCCCGATCGCCCGCGTCTCCTAAGCTATTCTGCACACTCGCGCCTCAAGGAGGGGCCCCTGCAACGCACCGGACCCAGGGCTGCCGTTTCCTCAGTGGGACTTTCACCAGGCGTGAGGGGCGGCCCCGAGCAGGAGCCGGTAGAAGCCGCTCCCGACCTGACGGCTTGAGACGTGTGGGGACAGAGCGGTGGCCACGCGGGCGTTTCAAGCCACTGAAGGCACTCGGCGCCCAGAGTCTCGGGCCTCCGGGGCTCAGCCTCGCGTGGCCTTCCAGCCGCATGAGATGTTCCCAGCGCCTGGGGGCAGCCCTCACCTGACAGGGCCCTGGCGATCTGCTCCTTCTTCCACTCCCAGGGCTGCTCGTACTCGGCCGCTGGCCTCTCGTCCCCCGCGGGCAGTCGTGTCCTCCGCTCCTCTGTCCTGGGGCCGCCGTCCGTGGGCTCGTAAGGCGTGTCGTACAGCTGGGGGGGCTTCCCCAGGAGGTCCTTGGAGCTCCGTCTCTTGGCTGACGTCTCCGATTTCGTGCCGGTGTCGCCCGCCTCGCAGGGACCGTCCAGCAGCTGAAGAGCCTTCACCAAGGGATCCTTGGAACCTCGGCGTCGGATTTCTGGAAAACACCCGTACGTAAGACCTCGACGGCGGGGTGCCACGGAAGCCAGTAACCAACGCGCTCCCGCCTCCTGCTGTCCGGGGAAGGCGGCAGAGAACGGCCACACCGCCTCCCGGCCCAGATG